GTGCCTAGTTGAAGGCATCGTAAAAAAGAAGCAGACCAATCTTCATGGAAGAGAGAACGCGAAAAGCTAAAGCGATTTTGTTTCTTAATGTTATTAGGCTCTTGTTTATCCAAATTTTTAGATAATAAAGAGAAATATACAACTTGGATGTTACTTGTTGTTGTAGACGTTTTTTTAAATTATGGCTCACTATTATAAAATCACATAACGCTGTTTGCCAGTGGACTACTCATTTGTGCAATATTAAAAAAAAACAACAAACTTTCGTACAAATTTCGAACTTTTAAAAATTCTAAAAAATCAATCGACATTTTTAGCCATTTGAAACGTGTACTTTATTCTACTAGAATTCAATGGGCTACAAAACTGCATGCTCAGAATTTAATTAAAAAACTCGAAATTTTAACGAAAGTTTGTAGATTTCTTAATTGCATACATTTTTAAGGCAGCGTCACTCGATTGGTACATTTGTGCAGATTTGAAAATTTTTATATTAGGCTATTGGTAAACAAAAATTGGACAATTTTTTATATATTTATATAAGCTGATTTATGGAACTTTACGGCCGGTTAAATAAAAAGCAAAACAAAGTTTTCTTTTATCCTCCTACCTGGAGCCTGTTTATTCGGAACAAAACATAAAAACACAAACAATTAGGCTTCAAATCACAATTAATAATATGCGTATATACATACATACATATAACATCGTTAATAAAGTACATATATACATATATAGAAACCACAGCACTTACATTTAAATTAATAAGAACAAAATAAACAAAACATCACAATAATCGCTTCACTACATTCACTTCTGCATCATCGTCCATCTGTTTTTCTATTGCACCTTATTGCTGTCCTGTATGCGCAATTTATGCTATCGACATCTTCTTTGAAATTCATTGCGTCTTGTATTTGTTCTTGTATGCGCAGGCCGTCTAATGTTAGTCTCGTTCGCACTCGTTTCTCTATGTCTAATATTTAATAATAATAATAATAGATTGGCGCTTACACATATGTTAGTGTTTGGCCGAGCTTCTCCTCCGATTTGTGGCGTGCGCCTTGATGTTGTCACACAAAGCGGAGGGACCTACAGTTTTACGCCGACTCCGAACGGCGATTGTATTTGTATGAGAAGCTGTTTTTCATGGCAGAAATACACTCGGGGGTTTGCCATTGCCTGCCGAGGGACGACCGCTGTTAAGAAAAAACCTTTTTTCTATATTTTTGCGATGTTGCTTTGACCAGGGTTTGAACCCAGGCATTGTGGAGTGGAAGCGCGCACTGCTTACCACTACACCACAGCGGCCGACATGTCTAATATTTTGGTGTTGTTGAAATCAGCCGAATGTCCGCTGTTTGTCAAGTGTTGGGCTAGCGCTGTAGTTGATTTTTTGTTTCTTACGTCTGCTTTATGTTCGCCTATTCTATTCGAATAAACAGACTCCCTTATGAAGGCGAAAAGACGCCGAAACGCGTAGGAGGATAAAAGATAACTTTGTTTTGCTTTTTATTTAACCGGCCGTAAATCATCCATAAATCAGCTTATATAAATTTATAAGAAATTTCAAATTTTGGCCCTAGAAAAACAAAAAATCGGACAATTTTGTTTTTGTAGTCAAAATATTGGTACAATACAGCGATGTTCTAGTGAAAAATATTTTGGGTGTTCAAACAATTGGGATACGATTTACACCAAATTTTGGCAAATACCCAATCGTGTGACACTGCCTTTAAACTTGTATTTATACTGATGTTGGTAAAGAACGAACTATAAAAAACTAACCGAAATTAAATAACAACAAAAATAATATTTTCAAACTTGTCAAAATTTGGTGCGGCTATAATTTTTTCGACTACTGTACATAAGTTGCCTATGATTACTCGGCCGTGCTATCATAGTAGCACAATGCCACTCATATTTGAATTACAAACAAAATACGGGCAGGAATTTCAAGATTTCAACCCTGTTTTTATGAAAAATTTTATTTTTATCAATATTTTTCTTTTAATCAAAATATGTTGAAATAAAAGTGAAACTAAAAAAAAAATTTGCCAGGCGACAAGCTCCTAAAAATGGGCGTGGCACTTGTAGGACTAAAGTTTGCCAAACGCAGATTTTATTGCGGATTTATGCAGAATATCGCTTCGTTACCAACATT